GATTATTTTATTTTTTAATTGATTTTAGAAAGAGAGGAAGGGAGAGGGAGAGATTGAAACATTGATGGGAGAGAAACATCAATTGGCTGCCTCCTGCATGTCCCCCACTAGGGATTGAGCCCGCAACCTGGGCATGTGCCCTGACCTGGAATCGAACCTGCGACCTCTTGGTGCATGGGTCAACGCTCAGCCACTGAGCCACACTGGCTGGACAAGGCGTGTGATTATTTTTGACAGGGGACGTTGTGCACCATGCAGTCCCTGCCCCTGAAGGAGCTTGGGAAGTGAGCAGAGTGAACCCGTGATCGGGAGCCCAGGAGAGAAGTATGCTGGGGCCTCTTCAGGAAGATCTACATCCCGGCTGCCTCAGCAGAGGAGCTGGTATGCACCCCGTGCAAGGGAGGCCATTCTAAGGGAGCATCTTAGTTGACTCATGACCACATGAGTTTGGGGAGGGTGCATGGGGACAGAGGCCAGGAATGAGGGAGGGGCCCTTACTCAGGGCTGGCAATGGGAAGACTGAGAAGTGTGTTCTGCAACAACATCATGATGCCAATATGCGCTTCCTCCAAAACGGGCCCCCAGACTTTACAGCTGGCCCTTTGGAGCCTAACTGCAGGTAAGGCCTGTCTAGGGAGGTGGTCGGACCCCACTGGACAGCGGCTTCTGAAGTTAATGATGATAAAGAATTATAACTTACTACCATCGCTGTGACACTGGTGGCTGCTCTCACACAAAGGGAGAATTTTATGGCCATGGAAGAGGTAGTTGCTAAGCAAAGGATTAAAAATTAATCCCCACTCTTCCCAATCATTAGTTTAGAATTTTTTATGGCCTTGGACTTCCAAAGGGAAATTGAGGTCCTTGTCACCCACAGATAGAGGACCTAGATCTTTTTATCACCTCATTGCTGAGGGAGATAAGAGATGGTGTCCTGAGTTGGAGGCCATGGAGGTCAGGTCCCTGGAACTTGCGGTGAGTATTGGGTTACACACTCCAGAGGGTGGAGCTAAGGAGCCCCTGAGACTGATGTGGCTGCATTCTAAGGATCCTTGAGAAAAGAGACCTCATTTTCAAGGGAAATGAAGATTCTGCCTTTTTATTTTTTCCTGTGCACCCTTTCCTTTGAAGTTAAAGTGAATATCCTTTTGGTCTTATACTTCTCTGTTTCTTATTTCTATAAACCTCTTCCTAGTTCAGTTTCCGTAAGTGAGAGAGAAGTGGCAATGATTTCATGATCAGGACTTGTCAACATAAAGCCAGGAGAGGTTACGTTGGTGAGATGAGGGCTGGAGAAACTCAGGGTCAGACGGGGTTTTCTGGAAATTGCCAATAAAGCAGCATCATAATCTGTCTTTTCTTCCTCAGAACAAACAGATGCTAGTTGGCTCCCAGGTCTGAACTGGACTTAGTTCCAACCAATAGACAACCCAGACCCACGGTTTTAATCTTTAGAAATTCAGTTGTGTCATCAGCTTATAAAAACCTGCTATTGTGTCAGGCATCCTATTTTCAAGGATGCAAAGATGAGCAGAAATTGTGCGGTCATGTGTTATTCAACTCTGGATATGGCCTGAGATTGCTTTGAGTGCCCAGAGATGATGGAAACTCGCTTGATCAACGCAGGTGGGCATGCCGGGCCACATCTTCAGCGAGTCCTGCAGCCCATATCCCAGACACAAAATCAAACCGACATTTTCATCTGATTTCCCACTATGTTTGTATCTAAAGAATAGAGCCCTTTAATTCCCCAGAGCTCCAACAAGCCCAGTGCCCCTAGATTACATGCTTCTCAGTCACCAGCATCATCACATGTCTCCCATGTCCCAGGCCCAGCCCTACCATGCATCCACCTGATCTGGGACCTGTGTACCCCACCTCTTCCACCTTCTGGTGTCCCCCTCCCTTACCCCTGCCATGCTCTGTCACCAACTGCCACCCAGGTCAGTTGGAATCTTCATCTATTAACCCCCAGGTTCTTAATCCCTCTGCTCGCTGGCGGCAAAAGCACTGCTTAGCTTTTTCTTGTTTTGCTCGTTTTGAATGAATTAAGGTATTCTGATGACAACTTTCTCTCTCTCTCTCTCTCCCACCCTTACCTGTCTTTCTGGCTGACACTCTGATTCTTAATAAGGTTCTCTAATTTTTACATTGAGCACTAGTTGATGGCTTGGTCCTGGTAGGGAATCACTGGCCTGTACTAGCTAAAGAAATGACTCAGTCCCAGGTTTCAGGGCCTCCGTACAAGTAGATACAAGGCACGGAGTGGGCATTAGGTCGTCCACTCGTGAACTGCCCCCGCTTCTCCCACTGGAGATGGTCGTAATCATGGCAGATGTTTTGTGGACTTGGAACCAAGCGCTCAGTTAAACACTTGAAGGGCATGACGTCATAATAGTCCTTACATCAGCTTCTCTTTATCAGTCGCTCAACTTCTCAGATGACAGAGCCCAGGCTGGAGCTCATGGCTCGTCCTTGTGGAGGGCAGGGCTCAGGTCTCTGGTGCCGATGTCCTCCCTCAGACCACACACACGCCACCTGCCACCTCCTCGGGCGCTCCTGGCTGCACAGGTCCTTATTTTGGCGTAAGTGCTTTCACCTTGCTCTCTGCCTACAGCTCTTTCCCCCTCATGTTCTCTTGGGAATTCTGATTTTCCTTCAACACCCAGTTCAGGGTCACTTGTAGAAGCTTACGCACCCCTCCCTGGCCTTCTGTCTATTTTGCTTGTGTTTGAAGAGACACCGGGAACCAACGTTCGCCTCTGTGGAGCACGCATCCATGTTTTGGTCATAACGTCCCTACTCGTCTGCTTCTGGTGCCGATGTCCTCCCTCAGACCACACACATGCCACCTGCCACCTCCTCGGGCGCTCCAGGCTGCACAGGTCCTTATTTTGGCATAAGTGCTTTGACCTTGCTCTCTGCCTACAGCTCTTTCCCCCCTCATGTTCTCTTGGGAATTCTGATTTTCCTTCAACACCCAGTTCAGGGTCACTTGTAGAAGCTTGCGCACCCCTCCCTGGCCTTCTGTCTATTTTGCTTGTGTTTGCAGAGACACCGTGAACCAACGCTCGCCTCCGTGGAGGACGCATCCATGTTTTGGTTATAACGTCCCTACTCGTCTGCCTCAGTAGAGTCTGACCTTGAAAAGCAGGCAGCATATCTTTTTTGTCTTTGTATCCCTAGCACAAAGGCCAGCTCATAGTAACACAGATAACAGCAGTACTTAGCTTTTACTGAGCACTCGTCTTGGGCCAGGCAGGGGGCTACGCACTTTATGTGTTAAATTCTCTCGTTTAGCCACCCCCAACCATCCATATGATACGTAAAAATTACTACTCCCACGTTGCACATGAGGGGACTGAAGCTTAGTGAGCGCTGTAACTTGCCCCAGGTTACCCAGGAAGTGGCCAAAAGCCAGGGCTTGACCCCAGGTCTCTCTGAACTTCTTTCACATTTTATTCATTTCCATGTCCTACATTTTAGACCATTTAGATATTTTTTTTTCTTTTTTCAATGTTGATTAAGGTGTGTGAGTAGGAAGATGACATTTTCTTCACTACAATTAGTAGTGCCCTGAGAAGCACTTGCTGTATCTCTCCCAGCGAAGGGTTCTGAAGGAAGGTTTTGCACTTTTCCAAGGAAAAGGGTTTGGGAAATACGAATTACAGAAGGTTACTGTAGACATGCTAAAAATCCATTTCTTTCCTCAGTAACTCCCCTTGAAACTTTGCAGCTATTTTACGGACTATTTTATGAAATAATTGCCATGCTTAGCTGGCTCATCTGTTCACAAAAATTTCAAATGTAAATTCAGCATTTGAGGGACCTAAAATTCATTGAGCAGAGATTTAAATATCCAGGAGAGATAAGCCCAAAACTACCTCATTTCCAGAGCATAACTTAAAAAACAAAAAACAATCTTTGCAATTAGAGTTTATGTTAAATTTATTTAGTCAGATATTTCCCAGAATATACATGGGTTTTTACCAACCTAATTGATGATTCGTGTGTTTGTCTTTACTTTGAGTTCAAGTTACTATTGCTTACCTCAGATTTTCAAGTGACCAGTGAATATTTTAAGATTAGGTGACCAACCTAATTGATGATTCGTGTGTTTGTCTTTGAGTTCAGGTTATTATTGCTTATCTCAGATTTTCAAGTGACCAGTGAATATTTTATTAGGTACTCAAGAAATGTAGGCTATCATTAGTAATATCAATATTTGTAATTCTTATCCTATATAACAAATAGCTAATATGCTAATTAGACCGAACAGCAGAACGACCATCTGGACGACCTTCCAGATGAAGTCGGGGCTGCAAGGGCCGAGCCCCTTGCACAGATTTTGTGCATCAGGCCTATGGTATTTTAATATAATGTTTCATACTAGTACAGCCTGTCTGATGATTACATTTTAATAGCATCTAGAAAACTCCAAAGCCTTCAAAGAAACCCTTACTTTCTAAATATCATTAAAACGGGGTGGCTAATATTCCCATTTTATAAGCTATAACTTGGCCTCACACTGTGTGTGGGTAGTAGAGGTAAAGTCAGAGTGTTGGGGGAGGAAGGGAGCTTGGTCCAACTCTGTCAAGAAGAAAAAAGGCCTTAGCCAGTTTGGCTCAGTGGATAGAGCCTCGGCCTGTGGAGGAAGGGTTCTGGGTTGGATTCTGGGCAAGGGCATGTACCTCTGGCTGCAGGCTCCTCCACAGCCTGGGCTGTGCAGGAGGCAATCAATTCATGTGTTTTTCTCACATCGATATTTCTCTCTCTCTTCCACTCTCTCTAAAAATCAATGAAAAAAATATCCTGGGGTGAGGATTTAAAAATAAATTTTAAAAAAGAAGAAGAATGGCTCAAAGAGCTGCCTGCAGCTTTCTGCCTCCGTATTGCACTAGAAAGCTGCGTTTCATTAAGAACACCCATAGTTGCTTTTGCTCCCTTAGCTCAGTCCCTCTCTCGCTGCATTTTTGCTGATGTTCCTTTCTTGTCTTTAGGCTGCAACCCCCGTCCTGCCGTGCCAGGCAGCCATGACGACGGCCATCCTGGAGCACCTGAGCACCCTGTCGGTCAGCGGGCAGCAGCTGCGCCGCCTGCCCAAGATCCTGGAGAATGGGCTTCCCAAGATGCCTTGCACTGTCCCCGAGACAGATGTGCCCCAGCTGTTCCGGGAGCCTTACATCCACACCGGCTACCGCCCCACGGGCCACAGGTGGCGCTACTACTTCCTCAGCCTCTTCCAGAAACACAACGAGGTGGTCAATGTCTGGACCCACTTGTTGGCGGCCCTGGCCGTCCTCTTGCGATTCTGGGCCTTTGCCGAGGCCGAGGCCTTGCCCTGGGCCTCTGCCAGCACCCTGCCCCTGCTCATCTACGTCCTGTCCTCCATCACTTACCTCCTGTTCAGCGTGCTGGCCCACCTGCTGCAGTCCCAGTCGGAGCTCTCCCACTACACGTTCTACTTCGTGGACTACGTGGGGGTGAGCATCTACCAGTACGGCAGCGCCCTGGTCCACTTCTTCTACACCTCCGACCAGGGCTGGTATGAGCACTTCTGGCTCTTCTTCCTGCCAGCAGCTGCCTTCTGTGGCTGGTTGTCTTGCGCTGGCTGTTGTTACGCCAAGTATCGTTATCAGAAGCCTTACCCAATCATGAAGAAGATATGTCAGGTGGTGCCCTCAGGGCTGGCCTTCATTCTGGACATTAGCCCCGTGGCCCACCGAGTAGCCCTATGCCACCTGGCTGGCTGCCAGGAGCAGGCCGCCTGGTACCATACCCTCCAGATCCTCTTCTTCCTGGTCAGCGCCTACTTCTTCTCTTGCCCGGTTCCTGAGAAGTACTTCCCTGGTTCCTGTGACATTGTGGGCCATGGGCATCAGCTCTTCCACGTATTTCTGTCCATTTGCACGCTTTCCCAGCTGGAGGCCATCCTCCTGGACTACCAGGGGCGGCAGGAGATCTTCCTGCAGCGCCACAGTCCCCTGTCTGTCTACGTGGCCTGTCTGTCCTTCTTCTTGTTGACCGCCTGCAGCACCACCACTGCAGCCCTCCTGAGGCGCAAAGTCAAGGCCAGACTAATGAAGAAAGAGTCCTGAGGCTGGCAGGGTGGGCAAGCTGTGGAGGCACCCCATTGCGATTTGGGGGAAATGTGATACAAACACAGGAGCTGACCTTTTGTTTTTTAAGAGTTTTCATGTGTATTAATGGCTTTTACATTAATACATATATCCAAGGATATGCTATGGCCATGGCTTTGGGAAGCCAAAGGATTCAAGAGTTATGTTGTTAATAAATGGAGTGTTCCTTTTCCATCTGGGTCATAGCCTTTCAAGACACAGGAAAGGAAGGGACCTTGGCTAAGATCGTGGGGCACTGAATTAAGGACCATATTCATGCCTGAAAATTCAGTAAAATTCTGACTAAGGCCTCCAGGGGCAAGTCCTGGAGCTGGAGGGGTGATAAACCTGGACTGGAAAACAAGGAGGTGGCTGGTCCACACCGTATTGGACCGGCCATCCTACTATTGCTGGTCTTTGGCAATTGAATAAACTGACCCAAAGACCCATTTCCTTTGGGTTTCAGATTGTCCAAGGTGGAGAATTCAGACTCTTCAAGATTCAGTGAAACCTTCAGACAATGACTTATCCAGTTCATCTGATTTCTGATCTCTCCTCTCTCACCCACTCTAACTCTGACCCTTTTCTCAGGATGACATCTCTCTGGCTATTTCCTCTAAAGTGCTGTTCACTCCCTTCAGACCTTGGTAACATACAGGATCGTGAAGTAGTTGCGTGGATCCATGTGGCTATCCAGGAAGCTTATTCTCATATAATACTAATGCAGACGGTACTAGAAACTACAGTGCCAAGAGCCACCAGGAGGTCCAGCCAATAAGCTTGGATACTGTTTGGCATCCTAGGACCCACTGTTGTATACCCGTGGACTGGAGGATTACTTGAGGTCTGTTACAGCTGCCAGACAGGCCAGAAGATTTGGGAGTCTTCTACAGATTTTGGCCAGTGTGTTCAAAAAGCCCCTGGTAGAATGAATTGGTTCTAAGGATCCCTCTAGGGATCTAATTATTTCAAGAGGAACCCAAGGTCCAGCCTTTTAAGTACATGCCACACCACAAAGGACCCACATAACTAGCCCAGTTCAGGTTCCTCAGATAGGCACCTAGCCTCCACTGAGAGCTGAACCCCTTAAAACAGTTAAGCCCCAGGACAGGAAGTGTGTGTGTGCTCTGTGGTTGGTCCCCGGAGGCTCCTTGGAGTATGAATGGTGAGTGGGGCACCCTGTAGCTAGAATGTCCCATTTCGGACATCACTGCCCAGCAGCTTCTACGGGGTAAGTGGTACTTGCCATTGATGTGTTCTGGCCATGCAGCCTCCAGAGGACACACCTCGCTCTGGTCCAGTGAAAGAGGCTGCGTTGACAGAGGAGCCGTGGGAGGCTGCGTTTCCTATCAGTATAAGGTTCCCATTTACCGAAAAGGGAAGTGGTTTGTTTTCACTCCACTTTGACAAACATCTTCTATTACTAGATTATCTTGTTGTCTTCAAATCTTTGTTTTCTTTCTTTCGCTGAGAGATGTGTGGGTTTGTGCCTTATAAATGGAAATGTATGAACACTCCTGAATATATGGCCATGTGAAATTTGCGGTTTGGGGTTACTGGGATTAGAAAGAAAGAATTTGTTGCTTTTCAACCAGTGGATGAAGGATTGTTTATCAATCAAAAGACTCTTTCAATCTGCTTATTTTGGGCAAAAAAAAGAAGAAGGGGAGGACGAGAAAGAAAAATAATCAACTGAAGCTTTCCTATAATCTTTATATCAAGGAAATGTATGGTTTGTCAGCTTTGTAGTTTTCCTAGATGGGTGCCTCTATTAATCCCCAAGTACGTGAACTTCTATGCTACCCAAGTGTCTTACACAAGCTTCTGGTGTCTAGGCCAAATCCACCACAAATAAAGTTAGCAAACTGAATCGGGTTGGACTAAGCAAGGGCATGGGGGAGTTGTGCAAACACATTACAAGTAGAGGGTCAGTTTAAAATGGGGAATAGAAATGCTTGAATC